TCCAAATCCCCACACGATGATGACAAAGTGCTGTCTGATTCGACGCCCTAGACAGGCAGGCCGAAAACACGGGTCTGACGATCTGAAGGTTGCTAGGCGATAGATTCACAATGTTAGGAAGATTTAGCAGGGGGAGAAAGGGCGCTGATGGAGTGATGGCTAACAAATGTGTTATAGTTATAATTATCTTAATCACAAGCTTAGTTATTAAATAAGTATTTTTGATTAGTTAGGCCAGCTAGCTTCTTGTGTTTTGGAAAAGAATATATGTAATCAATTATGGGGCTAAAGGAAGACAGACATATTCAAAAGAAATATTAAAAAATCTCTCTCTTTCTCTCCACTATCTCTTTCTGCTCCATTACCGGTCTACTACTTACTGCAATTTGCAGGTCGAGTTAAGGTGATTTGTGAGTCGGTGCATATCAAAATGGAGCAGCAGCTCCTTCTTTTTCTTCTTGTTTGGGACTGTTGACACAAGGTTTTTGGGGTCAAGGAATCCCATTGCTCCCACCTTGGCTCTTCTATTGGAGTTATATATTATATGCCCCTAAACATATAAACTGATAACTATGACACCATCCAACGAAAAAGTACTACCTCGACTGTAGAAACTTAACAAGAACCCCCCAGAGAAACGTTGCAAGGGAAGTAAGGATAAGACACAATGTAAATAAAACTCCATATCAATTCCAAGTGCTAAATTTCACAAACCGTAATCTAGAATTCAAACCTTAAACTAAATTTCAAACCCTAACTTAATTCCAAAATTTACCTGATTTGAGAGAGAGATCAGAGAGGTGAGTCACTTGTGTGATGTGGGTGTGGCCGGATTCGAAGACGGAGAGAGAAATCGGCGAGGAGGGTGGTGTCTAAGGTGAGGTGTGGTTGAGTTGAGACTCGAGAGACGGAGAGAGAGGGTGACTAAGTTCTCTAAGGGTTTGAACCTTGATTTGTATTCAACGGTTGAGATTAAATCTCAGCCAAATCTGACGGATGTTACAATTCCAAATATATATATTTAAAATTAAATAATTTTTTTTTTGTTTCGGTTCGGTTCGGATTACCGAAAAAATGGAAATGTGAGACCGATTCCCATACCGAAAGTTTGGGATCGATTTGGTATTGGGTACCGAAATTTTTGGAATTTTCGGTTTGGTATTTTTTCGGTGTTTTTTTTCCACCCCTAGGAGTGAGTACCTTGGCTACATGAATACAGCGTATTCGAAAAAGACTATACAAAGTAATACGGTTAATTAAAATTTTTAAAGTGCAAATAATCTTTTAAATTCATGCATTCCTTCAATTTCCTTTTACATAAATAAATTCCATATTCAAACTCACTTAATTATTATTTTAATGTGGAGCCTTGACTTTATCCTTCCGTTGAGTGGATTGGCAAGTTCATTTTTCTCTATTGCTAATTTAATTGAGATTTTAAGAGATTTTAATTTTTTTAATGAATGGTATTTAATTAGGATTTTAAGTGATTATCTAATATTCAACATGTATCCTATCAGGATTTTAAGGTGATTTATGATAATCATTAGAAATCGGGTGTATTTAATTAGAATTTTAAAATGTATATAACATTTAATGTGTATTCAATGAGGAATTTATTTTAAAGAATTTTGAAAAGTTGATGAATTTGAGGAATTGGAGAAATTTTGAGTGTATTTTAAGCACTCACGAATCTCATCTCTCACCCTGATATTTTGAGAGAATTGAATCAAAGTTTTACATGAAAACTCTAAAAATCAATTAAACTCCACCAAAATTTATAGTTTATAAATCTTAAATTCCTTCAAAATCTCAATTAAATACACCCTCCTACATTTACCTTGTCGCTCAAATATTTTAAATATTCTTTTATCACAAAAGATTTCAAGTGTTAATGCATTCATATCTTTACGTTTTTTGTTTCCCTAGAATCCCTTATAAATTGGGTTAGATTTCTCTAACTTTTTCATCAAATAACAAGGGCAGCCAAGAGCAAAACAAAATTCTGGTTTTTGTCTCCAATCCAATGGCATCTAGATTCGTGAACTTTTCTCTGTTGGTTTTCGTTTGCAGTCTCATTGTTGGAGGTAAAGTTTTACCCTCCTTTTTTATCCAATGTTACTATTCCTTGTAGTCTTGCTTAACGAATGATCTAGTTAATTTTTAGTTTATGTATTTGCATATTAGTTTTTACTTTTTATATGAAATACTTGGTGGCAGTAACAATTAATATAATTTTCCATGACATTCTTTTTTTGAGTTTCTCTCTTCAACTCACTATATGTTACGAGTTCAAATCCCTCCTCCGCAGTTTAGAAGAATTAGTGGATAGTATTTTACTGTCAATATAGTAGCTTACCAACTTTGCATGTTCGCTTATTGCAGGAAATTGCCAACCCTGCACGTTAGACAATCTTAAAATTGCACAAGCAAAGATTAGCAATGTCAAGTGGGATGTAACAATCACTAATGACTGTGTATGTTCTCAACGGGATGTGAAGCTCAGTTGCGATGGATTTCAGTCTGCAGAACCCATTGATCCTTCAATTTTGTCAAAATCTGGTGGCGAGTGTTTGGTCAATAATGGTCAACCTATCTATGGAAATAAAATTTTCAATTTTGCCTATGCTTCGACAACTAAGTTTCCTATTCAAGCCACTCTCTTCCCAAGTTGCTTGTTCTTGAATGAAAAATGTTTAGAGAGAGATTAATTTGGATTTAAATAATAGAGCTGATCAGTTTCGTGGAATGTATTTCAGAATCTATCTATTTTTATGAACTTTTAATCTTTTCTTATTTTACATTATGTTATCAGATTGTGTCCTTAGAATATCTTGACCAACCATTAATTAATAAATCATTTTAAAAATTGGAATGATTTTGTCTAACCTTTATCATCATCAAATTGTTTGACGGATTCGATGAGTAAAACAGATAATGGTTTTATTTGAATTCATTAACCAGGTAAAATCAAAAGATTAATTTCACTGGTATAATTTTTTTGAACAAACGATATTATTACACTAAGTTGGTGGGAGAATGAGCTAAGCCTCACAATAAACTAACAATAATGTCATTCAAATTTAACTTTGAAAACTCTCTGACGAGGGTGATGTAAAACATCTTGGCAGGAAACTGTAAATAACATCTCAAATTTACAACAATAAAACTAAAAAGAAGACCAACTACAATAATCGCATTCAGGGATTGCAAATTCAGCTAACAGCGATTGGTAACAATGTTTCAGATCATCTTAATCTCATCGAACCGACCTTTTTACAATACTTGCATAAATTTCATAAGCAATGTTGTTACGCCATGAAACAACAGAGGCACTTCCTCCATCGCACACCACGGGACACTATTTACAAGACCTCGCCATATCGAAAAATATTAATTTATATATGAGATTTGAGTATAATAAATTAAAAAACAATATGAGAAAATATTTTATCTCTTATGTTACTCAACTATGTTGAGGGTTAAGTTGCCTAGCAACAAGAGGGAGAAGGGAATCTAACCCAACTAGACCTTTCCCCAAAAATCTGATGAAAAAAATCATGAACATCTTTCTCACCCATATTAGGTTAGTTGGTCAGAGCAGCCAGTAGTAAAAAAAACAGTTTGCGCAACGAGATTTTGCGCGAAGAAACATATTTGGTCGCCTAAGAGGCTCATGCGTGACAAAAAAAAAAATTGTGGCGCAAAAATGGCAGGAAAGGAAAAAAAAAAAAATTTATGGGACGAAAAATACTTTGCGCAACAAACACTTGTGATCATCGCGCAAGAAAACGCGAGAAAAAAAATTTGCAACCAAATGTTTGCACGACAAAAATTTCCACATATTTGTCGCGCAACACTTTACTGAAACGGTCAGATGCCTTCAAATGCTCCCATTTAGTGCGCATTTATAACGCATTTTGCATGACGAACAAAGAAGTTCGCGCGACGAAGTTTTTCGTTGGGCTAAGTGTTCCAAGTGCTATATAAACACATTTCAAAACCCTAATTTTCAAAGGCAATGGCTAATTCGGGAGAAGGCTCTTGCAAAAGGAAAGGTGTATTGTGAATAGAGAGGTACCAGGTAAGCAAGTGACTTAAGGGCTGATGCATACGCCGAACTTAGGTTTGATAATGTATAATTATTTTTGTTAAAAAGTAGTATTTTTTGAATTACTAATATATTGTTATTGACATTAATATAGGTTCATTGGGATGTTGATGAAATCGATGAGAAGCAGCGAAAATATCTGGATGAACATTTCAAGAAGCATTTTCGGCAATGGAAGTTTAATGAGCTGCTGGATGCGTAGCGAGGTGCCTACCCCGGAGGAGGAGGATTGAAGTTGAATTGTTTTTTTTTTTTATGAAATAAGATTTTTAGGACGTTATATTTGACTTTAATCAATAAATTTATGTTATATGGATGACCATTAATATTTAAATTAATTATACTATGTATTAGGGATAGTAAATTAGTTTTGTTAATTATTTTGGTAATGTTTAATTAGGTTTGAGTTTTTTATTAGATTAAAATAAAAATTTACATTAGTTAAATAGGAAATGGAAAAAATAAAAAATATGCATTTTGCATGACGAAAATAGTATTCATCGCACAACTTGTTTAAATTAATAAATTATAAAGTAAACGAAATAAAAAAAAGTAGACTTGCGCGACGAATGATAGATTAGTCGCACAAAGTATGTTTTCACAACGAACACAATATTCGTCACACAATATCATCGCGATGAGAAGCAGTGAAAGTATCTAGATGAACTTGGCCTTCACCAGACATCGCGATGCATCCGGAGACGTGGCTTGGACTTTCCTCTCGACGAGGAGGAGGATTTGGGTGGTATGTATACGAAATTTTATACAGTACGTATTTTTCAATGTATTACTCAGTTTTATTTGGCGAATTTTAGAAATGTGGAATTGAAATGTACATTGCATTATTCTCCTTCAAATTGTTGGGTTAATCTTCGAATTTCGATGTTTGGCTATTGGAGATTCATATGTTAGGAACATAGAATTTTCCCTATTGTTTGTTAGGACAATGCATAAGGTTGTGGCAGTTGAGTGGCTTAGGATTCATAGCTTGTCTCATTGCGGTGATGGATGTTATGCACAATGCAGTTGATATTAGTTTGGGAAATTTGAAATATTGCATTGTAAAATTGTTGGAACGGGAGTTAAGATTACGTTGCACAGAAAAACTAGTTGATAGTAGTTTTTTCTCTGTCTTTCTGATTTTTTTGAACAAACTTGTTGCTTTTTCCAGTTCCGCAGTTTTGGGATTGGTGCCTAATTGATACGCGTTTCTTATTTTAGATTTTGACTTGTCTGATGTCCAGCAAGAGCATGCTATGGTGATTGAACATCTTGCGCCAAGATTTGCTGCTTTGAGATTTGAACTGTGCCCGTGCCATATGAGCGAGAGTTACTTCTGGAAAGTGTATTTTGTTCTTCTGCATTCGAGGCTCAATAAGCAGGATGCCGAGGTCTTATCCACACCCCAAGTAAGCTTCCTTCTTTGTATAATTACTTTTAGTGTCCGTCAGTCAATTGATTAAATTTGTTTCTGCTTCCAACTTAAACCGGACTTGCGGCATCATAAAGTTGGAAATGTTGCTTCATGCCAAATCCAGATTGCGGCCTTCCATTTCTTTTTTCTTATCCACGATCAGCTTGATTGTATATCACGAGTTCTCGTTGTTGTTGGATGCTAGTAGTTTCTTGAACTCCTCCATGGGATAGATTACCACGGCGAGGATTTTGGTAGTTCTAGGCGTTCAACTTCAATTTTCTATTTAGGTTGCAGGTGATCTTCCTGGTTGGGAATGAAGTTAGGATTTAGGAATTCTAGATGGTTCTAGAAAAATGACAATATTTTCTTTGATTAAAACATTATTTATACTTTGTGAAATTTAATGTAGTATAACATATTGGTCGCAGGTAATGGAAGCCAGAGCAAAGTGGATGCAGGAGCTACATTGTCAGACTGCATTAGAACATGATCAATTTGGAAGAAACACATCTTTTTTAAAAGACAGTTCCAATATACTAGACGAAGATTGTGCTCCGGTCTCATCATGTAGTGTTTATTACGAGGACAAGATGCTAAGGACGTATCCTTATGAATCAAGGATGTCCCCCACGGCTTATGAGACTGAGAAGCACCCAGTTGAGAGTGATGAAGTCCCATTTATTGACAAGTCTGTTACTGAAGAAAAGCCCATCATTAAGAGCGAGGACAAGAATCTAACAGGTTGGTCCATCCTCGAAGATGCTAGATAATATCTACAAAGATGATGACGACGATGACTGGCCAGAGGAAGATTCTGAATTAGATGGGTATAGTGGAACGGCTACTCACGCTATCAATGAAGAAGACATATCTTTCAGTGACCTAGAGGACGATGATTTTCTTGCTCCCACAAAACTCAAGACTGTCTCAAAGGAATAAGAAACCTCAAGGAAAGAGAGGATAAACAATCGGCGCGTGCTCTGCTCATCGGATAGAAGATGAGCAGTCCCACGCTGTCGTATAGTCCTGCGCGGGGACTCTTCTAAATGCTAGCTGATTGTCCTACCGAGTAGTCCCACGCTGGGACTCAAGCCTCTGGTGGTGATACTATTTGTTCTAATACCAAATTGTACATGATATGTTGATTTCTTGTGGTCCAAGTTTTTCAGAAAAGTACATGTTTGATTGGTTGTGAATTGTGATATGATTGTAATTACACTGTTGTTCCAGTGATTTAGAGAGAGAGAGAGAGAGAGAGGGTACAAGGATCATTTCACCAATGAAATGTCCTGGAAAGAAAATATGCAGAGTAGATTCTGTGACCATTGCATCAATACAACAATTTTGTCTTTCTTGTCATATTTTTTTACCATCTCATGAACTTGTTGTACGCTTATCGTTAAGATTGTCACATTACTCTTCAAGAAAAGACAAACACAAATAACATTAAGAAGAAAGAAGAACAAACAAATTTTAACATTTATCGACGGACATGTGATTTTTGAATAATGTTAGGTACACTAAATTTGAACATGGTTTGTTGTATATCAGAACTCTAGCTTAAGTCACAGGTTCCTTGGGAAGCAAGAATTTGTGAAAGAAGAGAATGATCTCTTTGGCTGTGTAGCATGATAATTGATGTATCATGTGTGACAATATATGCACCAAGCTAACAAATTTAGGAGCTTAATGGTATATGCAAAGGAAATTGCCTGCAAGTTTGAAAGCTCAGACATACAAAATGTCACCACACTGAATCATCTTTTAGTCACTACAATCTTTTAACATAACTCTAGCTCAGGCGTTTATCCGAATTTCTTGTTTTTGTAATCTGTTATAAAAATAATCTTCTAGTTGAATCACATACGATCTTATTTCGTTTTCAATATTTCTCTGAACCTCCATTTAAAATATTGGCCAAAAGTAACAGAGCAAGCTCCCAGGATGTATAGGGAAGGCTTCAACGTTAGATAAATAATTGCAATTAGTGGGTTTTACTTTTCCACCACAATTAGAAATTAAAAAGACATCTTTCCTCCCTAGTCTTCTTCAATATTTTCACTCAGATAATAATTCAGAAATCAATCGACGTATTAGGGTTACATGGAGGGAACTCACAAGAGTCATTGTGGAAGCTGAACTTTAAGTAATCCTTGTTTTACGTAAATATAACTCTAAGTAGTACGATAACATAAATCAATAATTCTAAATCCCAAAACCCTAGACTCAAACTTTCATGTATCAACCTAAGCATGTCAGACTACTTCCCACCGGAGCTACTCTTCGAAATCCTTTTACTTCTCCCGCCCAAGGATTTGATCCGATGCATGTGTGTTTCCAAAGCTTGGAATGCTTGCATCCGCGATGGACGCTTCACCAAAAGACATCTTCAACGCTCCATCAACACCAACTCCGCTCGCACCATTTTATTTAGTCTATGGGGTACCATTTATCCCAAGGATTTCTTTTTGTTGGCTCTTTCAGACGACGATTCGTTCAGCACAGCTGTAGAAATTTGGCAACCGTTGGTTGAACGTCGTGGCTGGGGTGAAATATCGATATTGGGATCCTGCAATGGCCTGGTTTGCATTAAAAGCACTGAAAATGCTGAGATAGCTTTGTGGAATCCTTCCATTCAAAAGTTCAAGAGAATTCCCTTCACACCCTCAGTTTCAAGTCCTCAGTATGGATTCGGATATGATTCGACTAATGATGACTATAAACTTGTGGAAATTGAGAAGATCTCAACTCCGTATTCGGTAGACGTTTCTAAGTGGTCTTGGGAAAACATTACTAATGGTTCTTGGCCCTATTGTGTTGCTTTGAGTTATGAAGTGCATGTTTACAGCCTAAAATCCAACTTGTGGAAGAAGATCCAAAGCATGCCTTCCAAAGGCCTTGAACTTGTTTCGAAAATCCAATTTTCAAACGGTGCTCTAAATTGGGTGATGTCTGATAACAATATGAGCATAATTTTAACTCTTGATCTTGCCACTGAGAAATATGGTGAGTTTTACTGCCCGGTCAACGGCATTTTGGATGTCAGTATTGAGCTGGAGGTCTTGGGAGGCTATCTATGTGTTTGTATTCTTAACTATAACAACAGTGAATTCGGTATTTGGATTATGAAGGAATATGGAGCGAGAGAATCATGGACCTTGCTTTATTCAAGTATTTCTCATCTTTGCAAGCGTTACAAACCTTTGGTGTTTTCAAAAAATGGTGAAATGGTTCTCGTTCAAAGTGAGTCGCACCCTGGTCTTCGTTGGTTTGATTTAGAGGAAGAGGTCGATGAATATACAGAAACCCGTGGTATGCCCCCTCACAATGGAGAAGCTACTTTTGTAGTGGGGAGCCTTTGTCTTCTTGATGGTGAACCTGTAATTTGTACGAGGCAGCCAAGGGTTTCTCGTGGTGAAAGCAACAGAAGATCAAGACCAGGGTTATCGATATCTGGAGTGAATTTGTGTCTTTTTCTCCTTGTGGTAATAGTATTAATTAGTTTGTTCGTTTTCAGTCTTGGTTTTGAACTCATATTGTAGTAGTTTGCCTCAGTTTCTTGTAATCCAAGTTTTTGTTTTATGTCTGGCTAGTCTTCTGGTGTGCGAATCACTGATGGCCTGCTGCAATACATTTTGTAGATTCCGACGCAACTACAAAATTGAAAATTTCCAAGAACTTTTCAAAATTTGAAGGGAAAATGAGAGTTTAGCATATGTAATGTAAGTTAAGAAAACGAAAGACATCTTAGAACATAAATTTGAGTTTCTAAATGAATGATAACGACAATGTGGTTTACACATCCATGATACTACTTCGGTTTAGATGATAAAATCTATGTCAAACAGAACAATGTTAACAATGTTAAGACTCTCTGAGGCTTTATGCACTACAGGAGACCGTCAGAAAGAAGAATGATGTCTCTTGTCTCCCGATGACAATCCATGAACTCTTTGGCTTCATCAGAAATGGTCTTCTGCTCGGATTCATCTGTAGATGCCGGATTCTCTGTACTTTGACATGAAAATCATGCTCACTGTTACAGTCAGTTCTTTAGGAGAAACATCTGGAGGGGCAGCATTTTATGCTCTTCATCTTCCGCTTCATCTTCTTGCCAATACCCGAGCAAAGGAATTGTGTCATGTTCTTGTTTCTAGAGCTTTCGGCAGTGGAAAATCGAATTAGAAGCTGAACTCCAAAAAAGCTTCAAGCTTTTCTAAAACGCAGTCTCAAACGCATCTCTCATCCCGTGCCAAGACAACTAGGATGATAAAGTGGAATGGGTCGAGATGTTAGGCTAAGTTACGATAAATTTACATTGTACAAGTTAATATACAGCACAAGGCTATCCGGCACAGGGGTATCCTCAGCCTTCTCCGCCACCTCAAGTAATGTATCAACCTCCGCCGCTGCCACAATCAAAATCCAATGTTGGTTGTTTGGAAGGATGGTAATTAGCTCTATCTTTCAGTTTCTATATTACACTATGGAGTCTCTATGCATTCAAAAACATTATTGCTAGTAGTCTACACGACGAGGAGCACTTTCATGAAATGGGTAAGTTGGGAGGGACTGTCTCAAACCAATCATGCAACGTAATATATGAAATAGACAACATTTTTTAAGGATTCGTAACTTTATATGAAAAAAAATGTAAATATGAATTTGGAACTATGATTTACTTAAAAAAAAAAACTTTATATCATCACTTCTTTCCAATTACTTGACAAAGTTTGGAGGAAATGTCAGCCTCTTGATCATGATCAGAGGGTTAAAGTGATATTGCAAGTGCCAAGACTGTTAGGTCTCCTGTCATTGCCATTACAATTTAGTAGTCTTTTTCAATATTACGATTTCTTTTTCGTTGCATAAGAAATGTCAGATTCGAATAAATCCATAAAGATCAAATTTGAATAGTCTTTTAGAATTCAAGAACAATTTTAATTGAATTTAGACATAAAATTACAAGAATGATTAAATCATCAAAATACATAAAAATAATTTTTTTAACTTTCATTTAAACTCATATAACCGTATTCTACACTCATATTAATTTTAATCAAACTATAAATATCTTCATTTTTTTTTAACAAAACTATCAATATCACTTTAAACTCATATCTATTACTTAGTTGTTAATAGCCTCACAAACTTGTCCTTGATGGTAATTATACAAGAATAAGAGAATAATTTACATTTAAAATTTAAATTAAATGAAAAAAATGATATATTTTTTGAAAATAGTGTTATATATATCATTTTATTAGATTAGTCACCAACGAAACTTAAAAAAATCTTACTGTCATATAAGGATTCAACTTATTTTAACACTATAATAAATGGTCACTTGCGAAAGATAATGTTGTATGAGTTCAACTGGAAATTTCACTTCATTTGTTAGTATAAATATCTCGTGTATAAAAATCTCATGAAAAAGAAAAAATAATAATTCCAAAACAAAATGCGGTCAACGTAATTTATCCAACCAGCGCACGATGCCATTTAATTAATTACAATAAAATATTTCTGGCGGGGGGTACTGCTGTCTCTCCCTCTCACTCCTCCGTCACTGTAACGCCCGCCAATGCGGTCAACGTAATTTATCCAATCAGCGGACGATGCCATTTAATTAATTACAATAAAATATTTCTGGCGGGGGGGTACTGCTGTCTCTCCCTCTCTCTCCTCCGTCACTGTAACGCCCACCGGCTCCTGTCTCTCTCCCTCCTCCCACCAATCGACAATCACTCGGGAAGGTTCGTCTTCTCATCGCCCTCCGTATAATTCCCCCAATTATCTGATCTTTCCAATTCATTGGGATTTTCAACTCCATAACCCAAGGAATTCATCGACCCAAAGCAATATATATTCAGTACCCAATTCGTAAAATTGTCAGTTCATTTCCATTCTCACTCTAAAGATTGAATCTTTACGGCTTCCCTTTTGTGATTTGAGTTCCAATGGAATTTGGGCTCGTCGCTAAGGGCTTGAATTTCTCTCGGAGAAGAAGGCAGTGGCTTCTGATACTCGCAGCACTTGGGGTCTCCGGCTATGGAGCTTATAGGGTTTACAATTTTCCCTCTGTGGCCAGGAAGAGGAAGAGGTTCCTGAAGCTCGTAGGAGCCCTAATTTCTATGGCCGAGATGGTCTCCGATTCGGCCGAGACGATCGGTGTTGTCTCCGGGGATTTGAAGGAGCTTTTTGCGTTCTGATTCTGACGAAATGCCCCAAAGTTTAAAGCAGATTTCAAAAATTGCGAGGTCGGAGGAGTTCTCTGTGTCACTGAGTAGGATTACAGAGGCTATGACGGTTGGGATGATTCGAGGGTGTAAATTGGAGATGAAGAATGAGAGTGAATCGGGGAAGGGTTTGGAGAATTCGAGCTTTTCCGATAGGGTTTTCGAGAAGGTTTTCTCTACAGCTGGAACCGGGTTCGTTTCGGTTGTGGTTGGAAGCTTTGCTAAGAATTTGGTTATGGGATTTTACTCTGATGAGCAATCGGGTGAGAATTCGAGTGTGTCGAAATCAAGTTCATCAGATGTGCCTAGATGGGTTAATGTTGTTTGCAGTGATAGAAGCAAGGAGCTCATATCGAATTCCATTCAGGTTTTCGTAAGCACTGCGGTTGCGGTTTACCTTGACAAAACGAAAGATATCAACGTTTATGAAGAAATGTTTGATGGGTTGACCAATCCCAAGCATCAGAACAGAGTGAGGGATGTTCTGGTTTCTATTTGCAATGGTGCTGCGGAAACAGTTGTGAGGACATCTCACCAAGTTTTGACAAGTTCCAGTTCGAGTTCAAGCTCGAATTCGCATGCGTGTTCAATTGTTGATCAGAGTGAAGGTCCAGGTGGAACTATGGATGAGTGCTTGCATCGAGAGGTGTCTCCAAAGCAGCTGAAGGAGGGAAGTTCGTTTGATGTTATTCAGAGTAGTGGGTGGCTTAGGAATGTTTCATCTACATTGGCAGTTCCGAGCAATAGGAAGTTTGTTTTTGATGTGACAGGGAGGGTGACGTTCGAGACAGTACGATCTCTCGTTGAGTTTATGTTGTGGATGCTATTAGATGGTTTGAAAAGAAGCCTTAGTGCACTTCATGGGGAGGTTGCAGAGAGGGGATTGCAAGTCATCAGATACTTCAGTGCAAAGTCTTCGGTTATAGTTACTGTATGTCTTGCCTTGCATTTGTATGTCTTGGGTGGTACAAGAGTTCTCTTGACTGCTTAATTTGATGGGTTTATCCCTCCCTTGTAAGACGCTCCTATCAGTCAGATATGACTCCCTTTGAGGAAGGTTATGTATGTATATCTTTGTCACTTAATTGAAAAGTAAAAAAAAGGGGTTCATGATTCATGATGGTGCATGCTTTAAATCAGGAAATTTTATTCCTTTTTTGTGTTTTAAAATTTTAATTTTGGAATCCTTGAGTGATTGCCTCTATACATGTCTGAATGTTGGTGGGATCTAAAGGTTTAGAAAATCCCTACTTTCGATTTGGAGGAATCATTGTTTATGTTCTTGAAGTTAATCGAGAGCGTTAATGATTCTGCTGTTTAAACGTTCATGATATGTACCGCGTTCTTAATTTGCCAGATTCTGATTTTGGTATCATCTTTCTGTAAAACTATTTTCTGTTTCAACTGTATTCTTTTTGAAGCACTAGGTAGGGTGATGAATATGAGCAGATTCTGGTTTACATCTGACTGCTTTGGTTCATGTTGGTTCATATTGGTTAATTGTAGACTGTCTTTGTTTCAACATTTTAAGAAATCCAGGGGCCGGGTGGATTTGATCTTTCTCCATTTCTCGTGTGTCCAATGAATGTTTCTGTTGTAACGATCAGTAGCGTTTTGTTAATACTACCCATAGAATTGCACTGTAGCGTCCAATGAATGTTTCTGTAGTTGAGTTTTGTTCATCTGTTTAAATCTGGAAATTTAGAGAGTCGGTAATCCAAAGCGTCCCAAGTATGCTTGTTGTTGAACTAACCGATGATGCAGGAACTGAGACCGCTCAGTGATTATGTCCGACTTGTTGATACTTAAGAATTCATTTGGAACTATACCTGCACCTAATTTAGCATCTCAGGAAATAGAACGATTCATGACGACCACCTCGTAGGACGGGGAACCTGATTAGTCTCCGGGGAAAAGGATTTATAAGAAGTGGATGAAGAAGCAGTGATCTTTTTCTGCTGCAGAAAGAACGTAGTTGTTGGAAACCTGTGATGATTCTTTGCCCTCAAGGGTAGCTGAGACCTTTTATAATGCACCTCTGAAAAGTCATATTTCATTTGATAAATGGATCACTGTGCCCCTTTCAGGTGTCTACCATAGCAAAAGTTTGGAGCTAGTGATGCTCACTATTCCCATGGTTCATCTGTTCCGTCACTTTTGGTCACGTGATAAGAGAGAGTCGTAGTTGTATACAATTGATGTCACTCGAGACTCTTATCCAGATGCAGAACGAGAGGATTGCAGATCGATTACGGGCTTATCATCTTTGTGAGGTCAGACTCGATGCATGCACGTACAAGATGGAATTCTGATGTCAACTGGTGGTGGTTGTGTTTTTTTTTTTTTTTTTTTTTTTGTTGATAGGAATGATAGTGAGTTTCATTACTAAGAATAACTAAATACAAGAGGTGCCAGATAGGTACAATTTCTCCAGTGATTAATTTCTTAATTTGAAGATAGTTCGCACAAGATGCTAGGATTTTAAACCCTTACACGGCTACCACAATAAACCAACACAAACAGGAGTCCCATGTAAATCTTTCACAAAGACGGTACACGCAACAGTGCTAACATTGGTACCTTGACATAAAGCTATCAACAACAAAGCCACATAAATCGCATAAGCGATACAATCAGGTCACAAGAGCAACACAAAATCTAATAATCTAACCCGCTCAAAGCGCTACAAAACAAATACTTAAAACGTAACTAAAGCCGATTACTTGTCCACACGGAAGACATGAGTACAAACGTTGCAGGAGGCGTGGGCTACAGGATCGCGTGGGTGTGTGGGCAGCAAGGACAACAGAGGTTGCAGATCCCATGACACGACAGAGCCACCGTGGACATCGCCGTCCCCGCCAACTGGTGGTGGTGGTTAAAAATGCATTCGTTAATCTAAAATTTTCCAAAGATGACACATTAATTCTTAATTCAACTCCATTTGGGGTTTGACAATCCTCACAGCCGTGTTAGACACCGCTAATATTGGGTTTCAAAATTTTATTACCACAATGTAATTATGTGCTATGAATATGGTGGTGTTAGCAGTTGCTTTTGTTGACCATAGTTGACCAAAGATATCGAATAGGCGAGTAATTTTTGCACTTCTTTTCGTTCTGGTTACATTCTTTTCTTTTCTTTCACATTGAATTGAATAAGGAGTAGGATTATCTCTCCATCTTTTTTTCCCTTTCCTTCACTCTACTTCTATTTTAACGGTCATGGTTAAATCACGTCAATATCTTATATTAATTTTTTATAGAAAGAGAAAGACAAAATAAAGAATGTGAGAAGAGGGGATGGAAAAGGATGGAAAGAGGAGGGAAGAAAATCCTAATCCATTGAATAAAGGCTTTTAACCAAAATAATTCCTAAGATTTGCATAACTCATCATTTTGGTTCCTAAGATTTGAAATCAATAGAAGTTGTCCCTAAGATTGTCCACCATCAATCATTTTAGTCATTCAATGTACAATTATGTTAAATAAGGATCGAAATGATAAAAATACCCTCATTTTAATAAATTATAGGCCAAAATAAGTTGACAAAAATTGACAAAGTTTTGTCATTTTATTCTTATTTAATGAAGATTTTTCACAGAATGAGTTAATGACCAAAATGATTGATGGTTGACAAACTCATGACTAATTATATCGATTTCAAATCTCAAAGGCCAAAATGAGGAGTTGTATAAATCTCAGAAACCATTTTGGCAAATAAAGTTTTGAATAAAAAAAAATTTAATAGATAGAAAGAAAATTTCTAAAGAAGAAATGAAAGTGTGAAAATCACTACCCTTAATGATATCATATGGACTCTAGATTCGTCAAGCTGCTTTGGTTTGTGGGTTTAAACATTTTCCATCTACATACTTCACAAATGAGGACAACAAATAATTTCTTTTATTAAAGATAGATCGACTGTTATTAGCAAAATAGTCATCAGTTCTTTTTTTTTTTATAATTAATTTTTTGATTAGAAAGATTGCAGAATGATTTCTTAGATGTCACTCCAACAACATTTAACTTCCAACGGAAACCATGGAAAAGATAAGAAACGCTGCCCCCAAAGTCTTACTAGAAGCTCATGACTCATCGTTTTTACTTTTACCATCAAAATGGCAACCAATTTCTTGTTGCCAAACACATAGTGTGGTTATTTTTTTATATTATTGTTGACAATAGCGTGGCAGTAAAGTCATCATACTCCCACATATGGTGATTTACCCTCTCAAGGCGATTAAGCAAAAACCTTAACGCTGCCCTTCCGACGCGTCATCCAAATTTGATTAAAAAAATTTAAAGGCATAACGAGAGGGACAGCCAAACTCTGCGAAAGATACAGAATATTATATAGACAAACTAATTAATCCTAATTAAATCCATTATCTTTCTTGGCAAACAAAGATTGAGTTTATGAAATTTGGGAAATCTGCAGATAAGGTTGCTATTATTTAGTATGAACATATAGATGCTTTATTATTGCATGGCTTTTCACCAACAAAAAAAAAAAAAAAAAAAAAAAAAAAAAAAAAAAAAACAGAAGAAAGAGATATAATTTTAATTGGTTACACGAGTTCAAGGCTTGTGCTTCTGGGTGTATATATAATCCAAATGAGCCGCCAGCGTCCTCCTCATCAGGCACTCCTCCTTATCTACTCCTTCGCAGCTCCCGCCTTCCTCCGCCGCAGCGATCTTTGCTTCTATGTCCTGCTGCACATATTTATTCAACAAATTACAACATAAACAAAACAAAAAGTTAAGATAACAAATATTTAATGAAAGAAAAGTGACATTTCAGTTTTTAGTTATTACTTGCCAGTTTTAAAAATAACTGAAGATTGAAAACTAAAATAAAACAATATTTGAAAACCCACAAAAACAACTTTCATTTTTCAGTTCTTAGAAGAAAAAATGTGAAACGAAAGGGTTATTAGACGACCCTAAAACAAAACAATTAAAACAACTTACTTGGTGTTGGGTTTTGAGAGTGTTGTTGGTGAAAGCAGCAGGGACTGGACGAGCAGCGAAGGTTGTGAGTTGAAGGTTGAGGAGGAGAGCTACGGTGAAGAAGGTGATAATATGCTTCGCCATTTCTTCTTCCTTTTTTTTTTTTTTTGTTCGGAATATCTTTAGAAGGGGGATACAAAATGTGAAAGAAACTAAAGTGGAGAATTTATAGTGGGGTTTTTGGAATGAGAATCCTCTCCGAATTCTCTTTGTAAGGATTCTGGGGATCCTCAAATCGTGTTCGTTCATCGTACATCGTGCGCCCAGTAATCATTTTAAATACTTTTATTTTAAATTAAATATAAATAGTACCTGATGAAAACTAGCAGCACAATATACGATGAACGGACATAATTTAAGGATTCCCAGCATCCTCATAAAAAGAATTTTGAGAGGATCCTCGTAAAGAGGATCCGGAGAGGATGCTCCTGAGGGTTTTTGTTTGGTCGTTTTGCATGCCCAATTGGATACTTACTCGTTGACGGCATTTGACTTAAGCAGGTGCATCACCTTTTGGGAAGATAGACTTATACTGTAATGCTAGGGAGACTATCATTCTACATTGCCTTGTATTTGTTTATTATATAAGTCTAGCAAAATGTAACCCTCAGTTTTTAGACGTTTCGTCAATTTTGTTTATTTGATTTTTGTTTAATAAAATAATGTTCACAAGTTATACTTTTGCATAATATGCTTTGTTCTATTGTGTTTTGTAGATACCTTTGCTTTGTTTTTCACTCAACTGCCAAAGTTCAATTCCTTCATACAAGTTTTCTTATCTTCAATTCCTTCTAGAATATATACTTGGCAATGCAATTTAACATTTCCTCCATTTGCCAGGTTCTTCTTCTGGAAGATTTGTCTGGGTTTAAAATCACATTATTTTTAGAGGTATGTAATCACCAAATCCGGCCTTTTTTTCTTCTACTTTCACACATTTGTTGGCATAGCCATTTTCAAACTTTGGTTATAATTTGGTCTCTATTCCTACACAATGATTCAATGTGGTACGCACTCTTAAGCCGATTATAATTTCAATCTTCTACTGGTGCTTTTGTTTTTTCTGTTACAAATTCTTTGATGCTGTGTTGTTTTTGGTAATTCGAAGCAATATCATACGGTATACTACAAGTTTCATGATTCGTGGAAATTGAATCTTTTATGTTTGGTGAACAAACACGATGTAAGAATTGTTCTTCGTTGACAGACAATGTGTAACTTGATACTTTTACTACAGTAGTATTGATTCATTTCCCTTGCGATATGTGTGAAAACAGATATGATTCCTAAGCTATAAGCAAGAATTTAATTATATACTATAAGCTTCAGTCCATTCATTCTCTGTGGCGTCAGTGCCATTCTTGGTTGCAGGCCATGTAGGATAGGAAGGGTGCGAATCAGTGAATCTTGCACTCAAAGCAAAACCACAAGAAGCCCAAAGGTTAGTAAGATTAGTAAGGAAATGCAGCTATTGGTCTTGTATTTACATCTATATGCTAACTAGGAATAAAATTTGACTATTTATACAATTTATTCTTTGTTTTTACAGGAAATGCAACTGGTTACTTGTTGGCAGCAACGTGCGTGCTGATTTGGATCTAGATACTAGTTGTTTCTCTGATAAAATATCTACTAATTTGGTACCCTGTTGTAGACGTCGTGTTTGATGATAACTAGAACGTAAAACTTCTTGTTTTGTGAAATACAATGTCTTAATGTCTTTGACTATATTTTTGTCCCTAAAAGTGCACACAAAGATATTTATATGAAGTAGTGACTTTTAATCACCGTCGTTAGTTTCTAGTTGTTAGTATTTGATTTTAGTCATAGATGCAATTGTGACTGAAAGAGTTTTAATTAAGAAGGCTGATGAGACTAAAATTACTATAAGATATTCAGTCATGAAGAGTAGTTGCGACTAAATAATTACTAGTTATTATAAGAGTTAACACAAAAGATAGATACGTTGTAACTAAAAGGATGTTGTGACTAAAAGTGAGAATCTGGTTTAATTTTCTAGTAATAAGATGTGTTGTGACTAATACATGTTTAATCAGTCAGTGTGTGTTTTTGGTGATGACTAAGTGAATTAGTCACGGGGCTTTTGGTTTGAGTAATAAGGTGATTCGAACTTGAGAGTTTATAATGTTAATGATTGAATAATCCTTGGATTAAAGTGATAATGCCTTGTGATCACGTGGAAAGTACAGTGTCGGTGGGATTCTTACAAAACTAGGGACTTGGCTAGAGGAACAAAACACAAGGAAGTCCCTTCCACAACTCTAAATTTGGATATGCAGACTGTAGAAAATGGAAAGGGATCCGGAGTACTCTCTGGATCCCTTCTTCCTAATTCATCAAGTTTGGGAATCCGGGCCATTGAAATTTGATCCAACGACTACAAATAGGGGCCCACTTTAAAAGTTATAATAAATTTAGCCGTTTGATCAAATTTCAATGATTCAGATCTTCGGACTTGGTGGATTAGATAGAAGGAATCTAGAGAGGATCTCTTTCCCCATAAAATATGCCAAAATTCTCACGATCTTTCTGAAGCTCCTGAAAGCAAGAAAATTACAACGAAGAATCTTCCAAAAAGAGGCCTTGTGTTGAAAGAGTGATGTTATCCACACACTCTTGTGTATCCCATACACATCTTGTTAATTTCTGTCATTTGATCTTTTATAATTCTTTCTATTCAACGATCAAAATTTGAAAGTAGTGTGTGAAAGATAAAAAAAATGATAGGAATGCGTAAAAGATAAAAAGATATGTGTAAATAATACCATTTGTATTGAAATTGTCATCAACTAATCATGACAGATTTGCCATTCTGATTTCTGATCAATCAGAAGAGTGGGGGTATTTCAGCATGACATCTATATTTGGTCACTTCCTCGAACCATAAAACCAAGATTTTTACATGTACTTTGGGAATGATAGGTTAGAAAAATTTTGGTCACATCACTTAACAAACAACATTGCAGTGTAAAGAATGGGCTTAAATTCCAAAAACTGTACGAAATGAAACCTGCATGGTTGCTAAAATTGGGCCTTCATAGAGGAAGAGAAGTGAATTGTATAAAGAGAAGAAATGTATTGAGTTAATTACAAAAAACTACCTTAACTATGGGTCAAATGACACTTTCATACCTCATCTTTTAAAATTGACAATGTCATACCTCATCTTACGAATTTGTGTTAATGTTATACATTCCGTTAGCTTGGCCGTTTATTTCTCAGTTAAATGCTGACGTGGCTTGATCCGGAACCCATTTTTATTAAAAAATTATTAAAAAAATTATTAAAACAAAAAAAATCATTTAATATTATTTAAATATTAAAATAATAATAAAAAAGTACATAAAAAAATAAAAAACATTAGCCATCATCTTCCCTCTCCTTTCGTGCATCTCCCCCCCCTCTCTTTCCATCATCTTCCTACAACCTAGAAAAGAAGAAGGAGAAAGAAGAAGAAGAAGAAGAAGAAGAGAAAAAAAAAAAAAAAAAAAAAACCCAAACCAAACCAAACCCAGTTCATCCCCCCTCCCCCCACCACAAACCTAACCCCCTGCAACCTAGAAAGGAGGAGGAAGAAGAAGGAAACAAAAAAAAAAAAAAAAAAAACAATGGGAAACCCAGTTCGTCCCCCCTGCAGAAGAAGAAGAAGAAGAAGAAGAAGAAGAAGAAGAAGAAGAAGAAGAAGAAGAGAGAAGGAAAATAAATAAATAAATAAAAAAGCAGCAAACCCGTCCCCTCCCACCCAACCCCACCCCCCCCCCCACCTAACCCGCAGAAGAAGAAGAAGAAGAGGGAAGCAGAAGAAGAGAGAAGAAAAAAAAAAAGGGCAGCAAGCCCGTCCCTTCCACCCACCCAACCTGCAGAAGAAGAAGAGAGAAGAAAAAAAAAATACCCAGTTCGTCCGCCCCCCTCGCACCCACCCTCTCCCCTCCACACCCACACCCCCCCCCCCGCCGCCCATTTTCTCCTCGCCCAGGAGAATGGGTTTTTTTCTGGGTTTTTTTTTTTTTTTTTTTTTGGGGTTGTAGGTAGTGGTGCGAGGTTGGGTGCAGAGGTGGGGTGCGAAGGTGGGAGAAGAGGGGGTGAGGAGCAGGGAAAACAAATTGGTTTTTTTTTTTTTTTTCTCTTTGTTTTTCGGGGTATTGCAAGAAGGGGAAGATAAATGGGGAGAGTGGGGGGGACTTCAGGCTGTTTTTTTTTTTTTAATAACCTTGTATCATTTTAAATAAAACAAGATTTTTACTGTTTTAATTAGTTAGAAAATTTTGGTCAACATCACTTAACAAAAACATGCAGTGCAAAGAAGGGCTTAAATTCCAAAATTCGAAATGATGTTGAAAATTGTCCTTATGAGAGGAGTGAAGTGAATTGTATAAGAGGTAAGAATGTATTTAATTACATCTCTGATGTATTTAATTAATTGTTATGCTTCCACTGCCACTCCTAAAACCTTCAACTCGAGAAAACCTACCATGTTATTAGTTGTATATATATACGATTACACATGTTTATCTTGTTTATTATAATAATTTTGTATTGAAAGAGATAGATACATGATTGTATATAATTGGTGACATTTAAGAATATTTTGTTGAACTTGACTAAACTATTTAATAATGATAAGTGCTAAAAGAGATAAACACATTATTATATAGAAATGATGACATCAAAAATCTATCTTTGGACTATGCTAGACTGTTTAGTGGCACCTATGCATGCACACATACATCAATTTCTAATTTTAATCGCAGATAGTACTTTACCGCAATGGCTAAAAAACAATAACACTTATGCACCCTATTGAGGGTTACAATGCCACCGATATCTCTCTTCCCCATAATATTTCATAGTTTAACTCACTAACGTTATCACTTGTAAAAAAATCTAGTTATTATTATCTGTTCAATCAGCAACTAAGAAATCTTCCAATTGCTGGAGCAATTCTATTGTGCAAAGCAATTTTGCCATGCATTTGTTTGATCTATCGAGGAAACATTTTCAATCAATGACCCTCTCCGATCTCTCTCTCTCCTCTCTCTCTCTCTCTCTCTCTCTCTCCAGCATGCGCGCGCATGCACAGCAGCACATACGTACCCAACTCATACCTCGAAAGTTAACTTTTTTTAGGGTCTGTCTTACAAGAAAATAAATCTTGCTGTATTAAAGAAATGTCTTTGATCGATCTCTTTCTAGCTAGCTCAGTAATGGATATGATGAAACGCACTCAAGTCTCATCATAATCTTCCTCCGTTCTTTAATATATTCTCAGCCTCCTCCTTAATTCCTATCCTGTATATATATATCAAGCATATTCATTATTATTTTATACTAAATATGCTTTGCTTTTCCTATGATGTTCGCTTGAGTATATTTACTATATAAATAAATGCTTGGAAAATTTCTAAAGAAGACTTGGGCATGGTAGGTAAACTAGCTAGAGTGGTGTGAGAACTTAATCTT